GCCCTTGACCAGAGTGCCCCCGAATCCTCGATCTTCAAACTGGAATGACTTTTTGGACGCTTCGTTCTTGATCGTCCCGTCATCCTCCATTTCATAGCAGTAGAGGTTTTTCTTGGCAGGATCTCCACCGTGGCGGTCGATGGTGACAGTGACTGGATACGGGAAGGTGCCTGGTCTCTTAAATGCATCTGTACCCCCAGAAGCAGGCTTTTGTAACAATGGCTTGCTTTCTTTGCTGCGAGTCCATATCTGTACCAGGAACCGCGTTTGTGAGTATGTGCATCTCAGCTTAGCAGCATCCTTGGAGCTCCCTCCATCCGTGTCTGCCGGGTTTCCACCACGATTGGTGCCGTTGATCTGCTTCAGGAAGATTGATCGATCAAAGTAATTGTAAAATCCATAATGCTCGTCGTCTTTGCCTCGATTGTACAGTCGCAGAGGCTGTACCAAAGGCGCGGGAAGCAGATTTGCAGGTGCTGCAGTCCCGTCAGAAGCCAACATTGGCGGAGGTATCACCGCAGTGATGTTTGTAGGGTCGTTTGCATTGTCACGCTTCGCCAGGTTCGATGCATTGGTCGATGGGCCGCTCATGCTGATGAACAAGCCAGTCTCTTCACCTTCAAAAGGGGCCGAGTTACCATCTGTCGTCTTCCCCAAGAAATTCATATCGTCAGTCGATGGGGGTGCAGGGGATGGCGAGGGTGCAGCGCGAGCGCGAAGCAGTGACCGGACCAGAGCGCCAGCTGACACTGGGTTTGAGGCCCTTTTGGCACGTCGAGACTGCGGCAACTCTGCGGCACTGCCGTTCTCAAACGTGATTTCAATCTTAAAGTTGGGCTGGTCTGGTTGGTTTGGTGCAACAGATTGCTGGAGTTCTTTTGGCAGCGCACAGCTCCACAGTGTAGTAGGCGCGACACAACCACTCTCCTCCTCTACCACTTCAGGTTGCGCAATAGTAAGTAGGCCGGTAGGTACAGGAGGGTCGTCTGGCAGATTAAGCCATTGGTTGCCGCCGTCGGGCTTCGGCTCGGTCGCCGTGGGCTTATTATCATTGCCTTTCCTCGTCAATACCACTACAACTGGGATAATGATTGCCAACAAGATGAAGAATACCAAACAACAGCAGCATCCCCAGAAACACACTCCTCTCTTCTTTTTCTTTTCCTGGCCTCCATCTTGAGGATTTTGGCTTCGCTTCTTTCCGAATGGCCATATGCTTGTCATATCACACACTTTTCGATGCTTCTTCCGTCCCTTGAGGTCTGGGGAAGATGACCGGGAACCAGAACGACTGCCGTTGTCATAGCTCCAATGTGAGCCTTTTTGAGCCGCCTTTGGAGGTGGAGCGAACACTGGCAGGCTCTGTGAGGAACTGTTGGCGTTTGTGGCGGAAGAGGTTGTAATCATGACTTGTGGTGCTGCTACTGACGTGTGCATTTGCTGTACAGGCGGTGGATAGTTTGCTCTGACTGGCTGGCTCTCCACCGGCGGTCGCCTATCTTGCAGCTCAATGTTAACATTAACGTGGCGTGGCTCCTCAACCTGACGAGGCATTAAGACAGTTCCGATGGCCGCCGTACCCAGCACCGGTGTAGCAGACATTGCAGACAGAGGGGAGGTGACGGCGCGGTGAGAATCTGGAGGTGTTTGATAGTTCATTGCCTTTTCAGGATCAGACTTCACTGGGACATTGGCTACTGAAGCTGCCGACGTGTTGGTTTGCGAGGGGGGTGGTATGGAGGTTTCTGCTTTACCCATGCCATACTGGACGGGTACTGTTGGGACGTCTGGCGTACTATCCCCAATACGTCCAGCATCTGGCCATGTTGAAGACTTAGGTGTTGCAACAAATGGTGTTGTGATGACGGTCCACCACCCTTGCGACCTTCGAGGAGTAGGCACCATTGATGTATCAATGGCCAACGAGTTTTCGGCAGCCCGGGCACTTAGTGGTGTTTCATCCTCCTCAAAGACGGTGCTGGTGGACATGACGCGATCTTTTCGTTTGGAATCGTCATCCTCTTCGAACGCAGTTCCAGCGGAATCTAGTGTGTCATTTCTAGCGTGGCCAGATGAGCCGCGCGTGTCATTGTTGGAAACCTCCCCTGGATGTTGAGCCATTCCAGCAGGTAGAGCGGGGACTGGTGGAACGTTGGACCTGTCGAAAGCTGTTTGATAGCGGGAATAGATACTAGGTGTATAGTCCGACTCTGTGAAGGGTGTGTCGGGTGACCAAGCCGACTTCACTTCCGCAGGAGTAATGATGATACTTGGTGTTACCAGAGTAGTGTCGCTCCCAGCACGAGGCCGATTTGCTTGTAGGGAGCTAAAGTCGGATACACTATCGGTAGGAACTGAGATTCCTATCGGAATACGTCTGTCCCAAGGTGAGATTTCCTGCCAGGATTTGGTGCTAGGAGTCATGGACGTAGCAGTGTCGATTTCGTTCCGATCTATGCTCTGCCTCTTTCGATGCATGTGTTCTGGTTGCGGTGTACCCTTGGTGATTCCCAAGCCTTTGTGTCTGGTTGAATTTCTGCTTAGGCCAAACCATGGTGACTTACGGATAGAGCCACTGCCTCTCTCCGATTCTTGTGGAAACACCTGGTGCGGTTCTGAGCCCCTGTGCCTGGTGAAACTTGTGTCGACAGTGATGCCCGGCTTGCTCGGCCGACCCAGTAGCTCTCTCCGTCTAGATTTTTGTCGTGAAGCACGTCCTGAAAAGGACCGTGAGCTGTGCTTTGTGATTGTCCGCTGTGCTCTAGCATTAGACTCAACGTCCCAGGTCTGTTGCTCAGGTGTTGCGTTTCCCTCGAATCCATCATGGAAATGTACTAATATCTGTTCCTTCCCATCCGCTCGGTTTAGGTATGAGTCGTCTGCGTATTGTTCGCTTTCAAACGGGCGCCTAGCATTATCGGTTGATCGAGGTAGGGGTCTCAGTGGCGGCTGGCCATATGAAGTCATGTTGGAGTGGTGCGTCGGTATCTTGGATTGATGTGGAAAGCCAAATCTCAAAGAAATAGTAGGTGTGAATGGTTACCAACGAATGCTTTTTTTTCAAACGGGAAGTGGGATGATTAGTGGCGTTGGTATTGTCGCTGCTATTGTCTGGCGACAGCGACTGCAGAACAACGAAACGAATGAAGTCACACAAAGCGGCGACAGGTGATGAAAAGAAAGCGGCAAAGAGGCAATAGAGAGAGTGAAAGCACGCAGAAAAAGGAGATGCATGAGGCTGTCATACACACACGCGACCCCAGATCTTTTGGCCGACTTTAACGGACCTGGCAAACCACTGCCATGGCTTAATATGTATAGCTCTTCTACTTGGATGTCCCTTCTGGCCTATGATGTGGCAGAAGCGCCCGCCACGTCTCCCTGAGTCAAAGCTCGTCGGTGGGAGTAGGCATTGTCCACAGGCACAGGATGAAGGTGATTGGAGCCGTCAGGTGGAGCTGCTTCATAACGAGCGCCATGTTTGCGGGCTTGAGGCTCCGTAGCCGCCCTGGATTCGCTGAGGTGGAAATGTACAACTCTATCCGAGATCTGAGACGCTCCAGATGTGTAGCTTCGACGTCGTGTCCAGCAAAATATTGAGGAGAGCCAGTCAGACGACAGGACATGGTAATGGAAGCGCCAGGCCAGCCATGACAGCGCCCAACGGTTGGTGAGGAAGGCGCCGCCAAGACACGCTAGTCTACAGTGCTGGCCGGGGCCCGTCTGTATGCGCCCGACTGGGAAGGTTTTTGGTGTGCAAGGTTTGCTCGCTACAAAGTCTTATGGAGCCCGCCATGCTTTTTTCTCAACAGCATACTCATGGTAGTATACGCAAACGGCGACACTGCGTGCTTGATGCGGATCGGATGCCCGCTCGCTGGGTTCTGCCTGACTGGACGCGGTGAAGCCACCTGTTCACGAGCTGCCGCTTACTACATACATACCTAGTGTGCATGTGAATGTCCTCCTATCGGACGGACACACCAGTTCGTCCCTGTGGCGCACCGTGCCTATGCACCCACGAGGTAAGTAGGCGGTAAATCTTGCGAGTCACGTGCCTGCATCGACAAGGCGTCCGGCATGCGGAATGCGCTGTCAAAGTGCAGACAGCAGTTCTGCAACGCGCTATGAGCCTGTGGAAAACCTCAAGTTCACTCCCTGGGACCGAAAAGAACGTTCTGCGGGCTGATGACGGCCCATGTCGCAATGCCCGTATGCCGATTGACCGTCCCCTGCAACCATCCAAATCTGTATGTACCGACATACTAACGTATCATTATCGCTGTGGCGCACCAAAGGGTGACAGCGGGCTGCCAGGTCCCCTGCGTCTTTTCTTCACCCTCTGCACACTGCTGCGCAGCCCGTCGGTTTCTTGTCCGTCTTTTGAGTGTCGCTGTGGGACAGCGTAGAGCGGCAGACAGCAACCTGGGCAATGCGAAGTGGGGAGGTCTAGCCCAATTAGCGGCCCTCCTTTCACGTATACGCCAAGCAGCGAACTCGACAGCAATTTGGTTATTGCGAGAATCTCCTTTCCCGCCGTCGCCCAATCTACTCCCCTGGAGTAAGATATCTCCCGTCCCTCCTTTTGCTAATTGCGACCGACGACAACCTCCATTGGACGATTCGTCGCGCTACCGCTTTACTTCCGCCTTTTGACCACACCCGCCAGCTGTCCTATAATACCAAAAGACCCGCCCCCGAACACCACCTGTGATCCTACCTCACCGGCCCACCGTCACAGCCAGCTGCGCAAGTGCGCCTTTCCATAACCCCCCCAGCCTATAGACGCCGACAACGTCACGCTGGCTTCCCAATCCTCCTTCTCCACTTCCTCTGGCCAACGGAGAAGGCGCTCATCTGCTGCAAGGCAGGCGCCATCCAACATCACTCTCCCCGATACCATCGAATCGCGAAGTAGGCTCGGCACAACTAGCGGTCTCTCAGGCCGCTCCCTGGGTGAAGGCCTGCCCACAATACCCAGTACCCCAGGTATCGCGGACATGTCTAGGTCCTCCTCACCCCAGCCCGGAGGCTGGTCGAGTCCAGGCTTGAACACGCCCTACGATAACAGCGGGCATAGCAGTCCATACCCCAATGGCTCCTCTTCACACAATGTCACTTGGGCATCGGCTCAAGCCCGGAGTGCAGAGGTCAAAGGCTATCCTGCTTTCACTCCTAGAGGCCAAGGTTTCTTTGGCAAGCACTTTCGCAAAATATCTATGAGCCTGCCCTTCAACCATGGCGACAAGGAAAAGCTTGGCCGAGGACGGTCTCAGGGTAACAAGGTCACGCGGACTCTCAATGGCATAGTTTGGAATTTGTGGCGCCTGCGGAAACGAGTCATGGTCTTGTTTTTGGTTACGTTTCTTCTTTTCTTTTGGAATTTTAACACACGTAAGTCTAAGCACTTGGTCCTCTGTTCGCTCCATTGGTACTGACGCTCGTAGCCATACGTCGAGCATATAGACGCTCAGCATGGCTCGGTGGCGGCAGCAAATATGTCGTCATCTTGGCTGCGAATCAAGGTGGAGGTGTCATGGAATGGAAGGGTCCTCGTGAATGGGCCATTGAGCGCGACAGCGTTAAGAACAAGAAAAAGTATACCAGGAACTGGGGCTACGAATTGGAGATTGTTGACATGAGCACGAAGAAGCGCTACGCGCACGAGTGGAGGGAGAGCTGGGAGAAGGTGGATACGATTCGCAATGCCATGCGCAAGTACCCGCACGCTGAATGGTAAGTATGCTGCAACCACTGCTGCACCCAACGCTCACACAGCACAGGTTCTGGTGGCTGGACACGAACACATTCATCATGGAACCAACCTACTCCCTGCAGAAGCACGTTTTCAAGCAGCTGCAAGACGTCACGTACCGCGATATCAACGTTTACAACCCTCTCAACATTACGCATCCTTTGACAGACGAGTACCTCGATCCCGAAACACGCTCGCCGGTGGGAGATGGCAGAGTCGATTCTGTAAACATGCTGGTGCCTCAAGATTGCGGTGGTTTCAACTTGGGCTCATTCATGGTGCGGAGAAGCGTCTGGACGGACAGGTTGCTTGACATCTGGTGGGATCCTGTTGGATACGAGCAGAAACACATGCAATGGGAGCACAAGGAACAGGATGCATTCGAGCACATGTACCAAAACCAACCTTGGATCCGCCCCCACGTTGCGTTCATCCAACAGCGTCAAATCATGAGTTTCCCGCCAGGCGCCTGCGGTGACCAGGGCGACAATCCCGACATCCATTACCAAGAGAAGGACCGCGACTTCCTAGTCAACATGGCTGGCTGTGAGTGGGGTCGCGACTGCTGGGCTGAAATGTACAAATACCGCGAGCTTAGCAACCACCTCAACAGGACGCCATGGGAGAAGTTCAAGGACGGCCTCTCGAGTTTGTTCAAGAGCAAGCCGAAGAAAGACGATAAGAAGGATGGAAAGAAGGAAGAGAAGAAGAATTAGATGGCAATCAACGATGTATCCGAGGCGGTATCGAGTGTATTTCTGACATTTCTCGCATTTTGATGGAAGCCAGGATTCGGCTGATGGGTTTACAATAATACTGATCCGCGAATGGGAATGCACAGCCCTGGGAGCTGCATACTCTCAGCATACATAATGCCGGAGTTGGCGTCATGCACCTATACTCCTACAAGGCTGACTATTTGGGAATTAGGTGGGCAGCCGGACGGAATGTGGCGTTGTCATTTCTACAAATGTTATTTCGTGGGTCCAAACGTTGCCTCGAATTCAAGTCATTGTCGTCCCTTTGACCAGCTTCTCCACACGGAAGCCCCCGCCATCCCCAGGACTGGTTGGGGTGACGGTATTGGCTGTTAAGGTTATCCAGGTATCCTAGTCCTCTGCAGCACGTCTGCTTGTTTGGAAACCCTGTAAAATAGAAGCAAGTTGTCGACATCGAGTCCACACGTTGCATATCTCGTGACTTTTGCAGCATGATGACGTGATTGATGGCGTTTGATGAGCAAGCGTGGAGAAGGCACCTCGCTGCGATGATATGGAAAGTTACCGAGTCGCTTGCAGAGCAAAGGACTACAGGCTTGCACGGCTGTCTCAAACAACGTCAGTCCAGTGGCAGGCGGCCTCAAGATGTACATGCACATGTCCCCGTATGCAGGCAGGTGAGCATGCACAGATCCCACGACTCCAAAGAGGTAGGTTGATGATCGGCGCCTGATTCGTCCATCTCCCACGTCTCATTGCCAATGGTCATCCGCCAGCACACGGGACACGGGGCCAGGGATGAGCAGCCGACTGCCTTCTCCGACTCCCATCTCTACTTTCCTCTCCTCAGGTTGAAGCCCTATTGAGCCCACGTCCAACCTTCGTTTTGGCTGCGTTTCTTTTAGGCCCCGCCCAACGCGACAACCACAACCCACGTTCCCCCTTTCAGGCCGTGCGCGAGCTGGGGAAACAGTACAGGTAGCGTCAGCGCGCTCGTAACTCTACGCTTATCTCCTGCTGCTGTTGGAGTGACTTGACGGCACAGCCCCGAGACCTCTGGAGCCCCAGTTTGTGTAGCTCCTCCATACCGTGATCTACTGTTTCGCAGTCGCCCTTGTCTACCGTCGTCCTAGGTCTACTGCGCCTCGATACCCAAGTCCGAACAAAGAACCGAAGTCGGCACGGCCCTTGGGGCCCACTGGAGCGCATATCTCCCCACCTGTAGAGATAGGGTCCAAGCTTATAAAGACGTATCCGGACACCGGTTACTACTCGAATCCTTGAAGCTCAAAGGGTGCCATGCACGACCATCGGCAACAGCGACCAGGCCGCCAGTTTGCAAGTGTTGAAGAGGCGCATCGTCAAGACCAAACCATGGCCCCTTCACGACCAGTTACGTCGCTATCCAGGCCCTCAGATGGTACGTTCATCTCTATACTTGCCTGTATTCTTGACGCCTTGTCTGCCCTGCCCCTTCCATATCATTGCACCCAAGCATGAGCTTATATCAAGTGTACAGAGTCATGGATCGATATCGCATCGGGGCCCTCGTCGACCTCTTTGTGTTCTGCTACTGACGAGATCATCACGACTGGTCTCACGGTACAGCACGACTCAACACTACATAGGCGGCAGAACAGGCGCTCACGAGGCGGCGGCCAGTTCTCCATAGGAACCGGACACAGAGTTACAGCGGCAGGGGGAAACAGCAGCCAGGAGGAGTATGAGGAGAGCGAGAGCGAGTCGGACCGCGTCATGACGTCTTCAAATGAGGCCCTTGGTCTATCCCCACTGAGACATGACCCTTCGTCCCGAAGCCCACTGTCAGTTGCATCTTCAGAAACCCTGTCGGACAGAGAAGACGATGACGAGAACGCAACTGCCGTCAACTACCCACGTTCTACACGACGCGAGTTTCAGCCGCGACCAAACGCCTTCTCACGTCCGAACGCACAACAAGCCATCCGATCACACTCTGGCACACTGTACACGCCTCGCAGAGCTGTGAGGCCAACTGGACAGCGTCAGCAGTCTTATCCTCAGCACACTCCCTTCAACGCCGTAGCTCCCAACTATCAACCCGACCACGACGAAGCTCTGCGCGCCAGTCTGTCGACTCTGTTGTCTGCAGCAGCAGCGGTGCGAGGGTTACCCAAGCCCGGGCAGCCACGTACAGCCCCGCCCTCGTCCACTCGAGTCGACCCGACATCGCTCCGCATGGTGCCCGAGTCTGTAGCTTTGGGCAACATATCCGAGGAGTCCACCTCATCCCCACGTAGTACCAGCAGCAGCCCCTCCGAGAAGCCCAAGCGAAAAGCAAACCCGCCCATGGCAGCCGCACGAAGTGGCAGCAAGGACCGTCGCGCAGTCAGAAAGGTGCGCAAATCCGGTCCGCTTATCGAGGAGATTAGCCCAACACTGCTCACTTGGGTTGTGAGTGCTGGCGTTGTAGTCCTCGTAAGCGCTATTGGCTTCTCGGCAGGCTATGTTGCTGGCAAAGAGGCAGGCCACGCAGAGGCTATTGGTCAGGTTGGTGCTGCGGGTGTAGACGCTGGACGTTGTGGCAAGGAGGCCGTATCTGGCATGAAGGGCACCGGCTTGGGTTTGAGGAAGCTGAGATGGGGTTCTGGCACAGGTATTCGCGTCTAAGTACTTGACGATGTTCACGAAATGATTGCATGGCATGTAGCACGCACAAACATGGGTGGGTCAAGGATGGCGTTTTTCTATTTATTTTTTATTTTCGCTTTATACAGTTTGTAATATCGATGTCACGCGGCATGGCGCTAGATGGGCGTTTGGCTTGATTTGCGCCATGGTAGAGACAAATTCTGTAGCTCAAGACTTGGGTTGCCTTGATAGCTCCAATACCATTTTATTTTCTGGATATTCAGACTTCTGCTTTTCTTCTCATTTTCCTGAAAAGATGATACTAGTAGCATGAGGATTCACAAGAAGTCACTCTCCAACATATATCTTATCAATGTCGACTCCTAAAATAAGCCCAAACGTCCCCAGCATCAACGACCCGACCAATCCCATCACCAGATTGACTTCCCATCCGCCAGCTATAGCCTTGCCCCTCACCAGCGCATTCTGCAATCTCCAGACCCGTATCGCTCCAACTAGCACAACCACGATTCCCATGCAAATGAACGTTGCCGACAGTGGCTTCCCTATCTTGTAGAAGCCAAACTGGGGCTGCGGATGGGGACTGTGCTGCAGCAGGAAAAGCTGGGCGATAACCACACCCGTTACTACGAGGACGAGTGAGGTACGCAGGTAGCCGAGGAAGGTGCGCTCGAGTGCTTCGTTCGGGGCGGTTCTTGTTAGTCCGTATGTTCGAGGCAGGGTTTTTTGATGACGTAAAGGAAGAAGAAGAAGAAGAAGAAGAAGAAGAAGAAGGCAACGTACCTAGGTGGTCTCTCATCGATCCCTCGTCTATGCTAAGACTTATCTGTGTACTCCAGAACTTGGTGACTGGGTCGTAGAAGCGAGTCCTACACGGTGATGATGCTGTTGTTGCATTGTGCTCGCCCGTCTCTTGAGGAACGTTTGCTTGTGTACTGGCATGACGGCTCAACTCATCGCTCGGTTCATTCTCTGCATTCGCTTCACTTGGTATTGCGGCTCTCTTCCGCCTCACGGGTTCTAGCTCTTTTGCAACGCGCTGCCGTTCATGGCGTACCGCAACTTCAGAGTCTGGGTGCTGTTCGTCCCGCACACAGCTGTGGATATATAGGGCTGCTGATGGGAGGTCAAGAGGCGGTATGGGTGAGGCACGAGATGGTCGAGGGTCACTCATGAATCAGGTCTGCGAAGTGAGTTCTGTAATAACAAAGAAAATATCAATAGCCAAGAACTGTTGTCAGTCATGATTAATGGGTGCAGAGCCAGTGCACTATATATGACCATCCGTTCCGCCGATAAGACCGGTAGAGCATAGTGGTGCGTGTGAGGTCGGTCTCCAAATGCGTCCGTCACAGGAAGCTTAGGCGTAGTAGGGATAGGCTCGGATCATCGCGTCGGGCCATCGCATTTCCTTGTTTCCAACCCACCCAAACTACAGTCGCTTTCACTAGTGCTGTTCTATCTTTACATTTCGACCTCGCCATACATCATAAAGGCACCATTGCACAGAATAGATAACCTCATTGATTACTACAGTAGCTTTTCTACATGAGCCAGGCAAAACAGCTTCTGATCATTTTACTACGACATGAACTTGCTGGCCATGTTCAACACACCACCAAGAGCGCTGCCAGAGCCGCCGCTACTTCCGCCACTGCCACCACCCGTCTGTGACTTCATGTAGAACTGGAGTGCCATCTTTCCTGCCTGGGCAATGGCATCCTGCTTGGTAGCGCTAGGGTCCTACTTTTGTCAGTGGGTGCTTCGATAATTGGGTCGGTCAGCGCCTACCGTGTTGCCCTGGCTCTGCTGCTTATCAAACAGCTGGGCAGCCTGGCCCATGGCCATGCCGATGAACTTGTTCTGACCACCCTTGGAATCATCATTGCTGCTGTTGTTAAACATCTTCAGTGCCTGCATAGCGGCAGCAGCGCCAACATTGTTCGAGCTGGCTTGCCCACCTCCGCTGCCACCGCTGCCATAGAATTTCTCGTGCTGTTTGGCCGCATCATCTTCGTCCACACTCTCATTCTGGTAACTGTTCTTGTTGCCAGCCAGCATACCAAGAGCACTGGTAAACAGACTGGAGTCACCACCGCTACCGTATTCAGACGCAGCATGCTGAGCTGCGCCAGAAAAGTCGTCGTCGGATCCACCATGAGCACCACTTCCGCCGTAGGAAGTGCCAGTAGAGTGCTGGCCTCCCTGGTTACCTGATCCACCATATCCTCCTGAGCTGCCTCCATAACCTCCTGATGGGCGGTCATTGTCGTCGTCACGTCTTGAGCTGTTCCCATAGTTACCTCCTGAGCTGCCTCCGTAGCCACCTGACGGACGGTCATTATCGTCGTCACGTCTTGAATTACCTCCGTAACTGCCTCCTGAGCTGCCCCCATAGCCTCCAGACGGGCGATCATTATCATTATCCCGCCCTGAGCTGCCTCCGTAGCCTCCTGAGCTACCACCATAACCACCTGATGGGCGGTCATTGTCATCAT